TTTTTTTTTTTTTTTTTTTTTTTGATTTGCTTGAGCATGAAACGAGATAAATTTAAATCTCTGTACGCTTTAAATCGCGACAACGGACCATTCGAATTTATACAAAGTCGGATTTGGAATTTTCATACGTAAGAAACGTGAGCGGAAACAAAATATTTTCGAAACTCATTCAGAATGTGGAGGAAACCGTATCATTTTTCAATCGGTTGCCGAGAATAATACAGAATTCAAAATATTCAGTAGTATTTATGATACTACTGGGTTTGCAACTCGGTTATCTGCATTTTTTTCTTGGAAATGCGTATCACATCTCTCCAGGGAATATCACTTGTCTGAAATTGGATCAGTGAGACGAGGTGCGAGAGAAAATGAGCAAGAGGAACGTAGACAGCGATTAAAACGATTAAAAAAGAATTACTCTTTTCTTTACACGACGACATATTTCAAAAAAGTCGTATTTCGAGAAACCCACGAAAAAAGCATTTTAAAAGTTGCAACGATCTCTCGTTTATTAACCGCTAGTCGCTATCTTCGTAATTATAACGATCCAAAGTTTTCTTGAATTTTAATAGCGTTCAACGGAGTTTTAACTTGCGTCGAAAGATATCTATTATATAGAAAAGTATTGCTTAATATCGAAGACTATCTAAATTGATTTAAAAGTTATCCCCAAGTTATCCCTCATTCCCGGTGAATTGGATCGAGTTCGATCGATCGAACTCGATCGAAAAATATTTTTGCGTCCGCGCAAAAGTTATGCGAGCGAAGAGGAGCGCAGGATCGTATCGAAAGACAGAAAAGGGACCCCCTTTTTTGTTAACCCCCGTGTGTTAATCGCCGTGGAAAATTCAGTAGTATTCGACAGGTAAACGCGAGGACGAGGTCTGCCTTTCCACCGGTTCACTCCGGTTCCCGATTTCAAATACCTGCGCTCGGCACTCGCCTTTTATATCGTATATTCCGCACGGCGCGTGATACCGTCCGGAATTCCGGACACGTAGCGTTTCAACGGTAACCAATATCCGCGTTATATCAACCATTAAAATGAATATTTCTCGAGTCCATGCCGAGTGTGGATTCCTCGACGGCTCGTTTCCCGCCGGAAAACTACCTCATCCCCCATGATTTCTTCCCCAACCCTTCCAACCAAACTTGCGCGCTTCGCGTGTATTCCTGTTCCTTCACCATCGCCATCATCATCGATGAATCGAACTTTCTTCCTCTATCTTTTATCGCTCGACGCGAATTTCGAGAGGACATCGTGAAATTAGGCGCTACTGGGACGAGAAGACGATCGATAACCCGGTTCCATTATAATCGCAGACATGGATTTTCGCTTTTGGAATCCCGCTAGAAATTAATTCTACTTTTAGAGCTTTGTTCCACGCGACGGATTTTTCTTTTCTCCTTTCTTTACTCTCTTCCCCTCCCTCCCTTTTTCCCCCCTTGGTTAGGAAGATAGATGGAACTTTTTATAGGTTTTTTCCGTTTCAAACTTTTATGAAACGTAGATACGTACGTAGGGAGGGGAGGAGAAGAAGCGGCAAGTGGTATAACGGAAGAGAAGTGGTTCAGTGTCCTTGACGGTCTTTGGCGGTGGCCGATTATTTGGGCCGCTCGAAAAGTCGAGCCCCTTTAAGACCGGGGCGTAAAAGGTTCCGCGGAACGGAACGGTTTCCTGTGATTTCTCAACCAGATTTTTCTGCTGGAAGTTAAATCAAATTTCGCCAAAGCGAGTCTGCGCCAGGCACACAAGCGATATCTCCAAGCTTTGAAAAATTCTTCGCGTCATACGTTCCTCCGTGACATCGATGTCCCCGTTTCTACCCTCGTCTCCGAAAGAACCTTATATCTTTTTTCCTTCCCCCTTCTTTTCCATGTATTCTGTCATTTCGGCCCTGGCTCGGGGATTACACGCGCGATCGAAAAAAAGGATTTCGCCATTTTGCACGACCCGCTTTTCAAATATTATATTGTTTCGTGCGAGTCGTAACTTAAAACGTTCTCTTTCAACGAACGACGGTTTACATTTTTACGAGCGTCTCGCGAATTCGAAAATGATTCCCTCGGAGAAAGAAAAGGTGTTTTGCGCAACCATCCGATATTTTCAGCTTCAACCGTCGAATTTCACGGGAAACAAGAACTCGTTTTGTGAAATCGTTTTGTAACGCGATAACGACAGGTTACTACTTCGTTCATTCACGTCTAATTTCCATCTCAATCGAGACACCTCGGTCAAAAAAACTTGTGCAATTTCTCGACCATTCATTCGTCGCGAAATTTTCGATTTCGTAACGAATAACGAAATTTTTTCAAAATTTAATCGTCGCGTATCCTCGTTATCGTTGTCGATTTTGAACGGTGGAGAGGAGGGAAGGAAAAAATAAAAAAAAAAAAAAAATAAAAACGTATTGTTCTCGAACGAATAATTCATAACTTTTCGATTATTAACCGAGCATATTCATTCAAACTTTTCGATACAATCCCATGTAACTATTACATGCAATTGCAACAATGAAAGCTGCGGAAAGAATGATCGAAAACATCAACACGATTATAACTTGGGAACAAGATAAACCCGAAGCCGAGTTTACATTCCCGAAATGATAGCCAACGCTTGTTGTTTGGACTTCAGCTGACTGCTCTCGTTGAAATTGCAAACGCCGCTGTTTGTGACGTCGTGGGAAAGCACGAGGTGCTCGTCGACTTTCAAGGTTCGTTTCACGCAAAAATTAACCGAGAGACAGCCGACGCAGGGAACACGTGGAGGAGGGGGTCGGATCGACCGAGAGAGAGAAAGAGAGAGAGAG